CACGACAGTGACATCATGGCAGGCTGAGGTAAAAATCAAAGACTCAATTCGTTTCTTGTCATTACACTCTAAAAAATGAGGGGACTATCTGTATACGATTAAAACCGAGCCCACCCAATTTTTCTATCTGACCGGGACGAGGGAGCTGCATCGACGGTCAGCCCCATAGTGGATCAGATCAAGGTACGAGGACAAAGTACCAAGTTCGGGATTCAAGGTACCTGTCGAGATCAAGGCCAGCAGCGATCGAGACCGAATAAGGCAGGCATCGAGCAAGATCGAAGATAACATAATAACGGAAAGGCGAAATATCCGTGACTGGTCGAAGATCATGGCGGAAATCTCGGAACAGATCAAATTAGGAACGGTTAATTAGCTAATCATGGGATTTTTTTTCTGTAATTAGAGTTATACCATAAGTAAAATTCCTCTACTATATAAAGGAGAGTATTAACCATTTGTAAGGACACATTGTTCTCGCATAAAAAAGCCAATATAACACTTTCTCTTTAGCTTATACTTTCTTGTTCATCAGCTTGCTTTATTTTTAACTGTTTTGGTATTAATCAGTTCGAGGGGACCATAACTCGAGGGTTGAATCCCGTTTCAACACTGGTTCGCTTTACTTTATAGTTCATTTATGTTATTAATCTTCATATTTATTAATTGGTATTGAGTGAAATTACGTGTCCTTAGAACCACATTATAAGTTCAATTGTTATCCAATTTTAAGGGTAAACAATAATGTAATTGAAACACTTCTGATATAGGCAAAGTTTCAGAGATGATAAACTATACCACAAAGCGTGAATTCTAGTTTAATGTCTTTTCGATATCTTCATGTCTTATATGAGCAAATGTTACTGCTGCATTGAAATTGCGTACGTGAATAAATGAGTGACAACGGAAATGCTAAAGATGTGAAGATGGAACCTGAAATACTGACGGGTCATTTAACCTATGCAATAAGAGTGCCGAAATCAACAAAAAGGGCTATATAAGGGGGACATTGGTGTTTAGATCATTATAAATGTTCTTTTAGATAAATAGTCTTTTCAAGGAAAGACCGGTAAAATATAACACAAGGAATCATAGAATAAAAACATAATATCTTTCTAAGATTATTTTCTTCTATTCAAACTATAACCGCTCATAGAATTCATTTCCTTTGCAAAAGGGCAAAGAAACAAAAGGGCTGAAAATCACCCTTTGTAAAATGAATTGATATTATTCTACACTATAAATGAATAGATCTTAAACAACGTATCAGATATGAAAAAGATGCTTCTTTATATATTGTAAGTATACTAGTTTCTCGGCACGTGCGTTGCACGTATATGCCAAGTCAAGTAATATATACTTTTGTTAAATAATATCAATATTATTAAAATAAGTTTTTGATAAATAATAATACATAAAAGAATAAAATATAAGTTTTTGCGCGCGTATAACTTATATGAATCATCGTAAAGTGACTTGTTTTGTCGAAGTAAAGAGAGGCGAAAGCCAAATTAAATTTTTTTGTTAATTCAAAGCGAGGTGGGGCGGGTCATAAATGAGGGTGGTTTTTATTTTATTTTATTAAATAGGTGTTGACCAAGATGATAGCAATGAAATTTGAATCCAAAATCACTTGTCATGTTGAATTGTAATAATATCTCATGTACAAACTTAAACAATTAGAAAGTACACTTTTAATTTTTGTAATTACTCCATATATTATTTTATCAACACTATAAACTCACCTCTATATATGGAGCATGGAGGTCTCCCATTATTTATGGAGAGGCGCACATGCAAACAATAGTAGTAATGTTTGTTATGGAAATAGCAAGGAGTTCAAATTGGTTTTAGATTTGCAACTTAAGATGTAGCAGTTCTTCAAACCAACAAATGATGTGAAGTATTACATCTCTTGGCGGACTAAGATTTTTCATAAGGAGATTCAAAAATTACATGGTACAACTATAGTTAAGGCGATACCATGGATTATTTTAGGCTTTTTTGTCTCTTTTTTAAGTAGTTGGACAAAAAAACATTAATGCATGATATCATTAAAATAATACGAACAATAAATTTCAAGTTTCAACACTTAAATCGAAAAGTACATTAAAAATTAAAATTTTTAATTGTATAAATTATAACCGCACAAATAATGTAACAAATTTAAACGTTAACAAAGAATTGTACATTTTGATAAATTTTACTTTGAAATTTTTGCTCTAATTTGTTAACTTCAAATATTTTAAACTTTAACATACTTAAAAAATACCGAATAATCTCTTTTGCAGGACAAACAAAAGCAAATTTGTAACATAAATATTAAGCTAACTTTAAGCAAAAAGAAAAGAGAGCTAGGAAGTAAATAAAACTAACAAAGTGTAATAGGAAAAAAAAAGTTATACAATAGTCTTATAATTATAATATAACATATATAAGAAATTTAAATATAAACTAAGTTAAACTATCCTAAAATAATAAATGTAAGTCAACAATATTTTGCCAAAAAATCACAAATTTCTTTGAAAGTATATAAGTTATTAATGATTTATCTAGTAAACCACATACGTGCAATGGGCTTATTGTTTTTATTTGCTCAACAACAAAAAATCAATAGGACGCTTCTACATTTAATAGTAAACATTAAAAAACTCATAAACTATTACATAAGTCCAGAAAAGAAACATGATGAACTAACTACTCATGAAGTATATGGGAGAAGTGTCAAGCCAGGTTTATATGGAATCGATAGGGAAATCTTTGAGAAAGCATAAGGCAGTATATCTCGGGATAATTTTGTAAAAAATGGAGAAAACTTGAGCAGACATAGGCTCTCGCAATAACTTCACAGGATGTTTGAATCCACTCGATCATTATTCCACGATTTTCGCATTTATCAAGCAGATTCATTAGCAATATTTGTCTTTTCAAATATTACTTATAGCGAAGCGGATATAATTGAACCCGCTCCCTTCAACGCTGGCCCTCTCCTCCTTCAACGGAGTAAATCATGCAAGAGAAATGTGTGTAAGAATGGTTGAATATAATGTTTACCCACACTTTGATTTCTTCTAGAATAGAAACTCGACGCATAGAAAAGATGGAAAAACTCGTCAAGTAATTTAAGAAGAACGGTGAATTAGCAAAGGTGACAGAAATATGTATTTGGTTAAAAGCCTAATAATTCTGTTATTTCATTTTACACTTTAACAGCAAGAGACACGACAAAATTTCTTTTTTCCTTCAAGGCAACGGTTGAGTAAGGTTTTTCCAAGCCACCGGTTAAAACTAATTGGAAAAAACCTTTAGTTGTTAATGAGAACAAACACAACTTTTTAGAAAAGTCATTTAAATCAAATCATTTTTTTCTTTTATTTAAATATTATTTTTAATATACAGTATTAGGGTATTTAGCAAAAAATATAAGAGGGGTATTTATATAATTTGACTTTTAAGTTTTAGGCTCGGAGTATAGAATATCTCTTCTCGTACTGTATATAAGTTTAATTAATCATAATGTGTCCCACATCGATAAACAGACAAAACTGTAGGTGATGTGGTTAGCATAAAGGAGTGAGGTTAGAGGCTTTGAAAATTATGATCCTTCAGGCAAGTTTTAATGGGATATGATGAGTGGTCAAAACTCGCATTTAAATATGCGAGATGGGTGTCCAGCCCAGCCTGGTTACGACAAACCATAGGCACTCTCTTTTACCTATCTGATCCCTATTCTTCAACAAAATATTGCCCCCTCCCTCCCTCCTCCACCCCAAAAAACTTATTTATGTGTTAGTTGGTATTATATTGTTAATTTTGTTTTCAAAATGTACATTTGTTACCTTTTCTTTTTCTTTCCAGTTTAACTATAGGGTACACTTTAAATTTGACATCTTAATCAATACTTATCTAGGGGTGTTAAATTATGTATCTTATACATAATTAAAATTATATTTTTTAGAATTTGTATGTTATTTTATTATACCTAACTAAAATTAGACTTTTTGAAACTGTCTCTTTCATGTTAGTTTTTTTTTGGATAGGACTTAGCAAAATTCTCTAAATATTTTTACTATTTAAAGAGTGTTGGAATAAGAAAACATGAAATATGAGAGTATCTATCAACTATTCTATAGCATAAAATAAACTAAACAAAGACAAGAAAATATAAATCACACGAGTGGAAAGATATTAACTAAGTTGGGCCTCAAGAATAAAGTAGAAGATTAAATATTTAAAAAGATAAATCTAAATCATACGAAAGAAAGCATATTCGATACATTGGAAATAATATGGTTTCAATAGGAGTAATATAATAGGTTTGGAAATTAGAATACGTGTTGACTAGTATCCGTTTTTATAATTTCAAGGCCCAAGAAAAATCTTAATGTATTTTTTTTTAAACTTAATATATAAATATATTTTTTGCATGTAAATTTATTCGATATGGTTCAGTATTTTTTTAGTTTATTTTTATAAACTTAAAAACCTACCTTAATTATCGATATGATTATAGATTTAAATAAAAACCTATAATTTTATTAAAAGAAACTAAAAATCAATCTGGTACGGTACGGTTAGTCAATTTTTAAATATCAATTGACACACCTAATACTATCTCCTCTGCTTCAGTTTTACTTGTTTACTATATTATATTTTTACTTTTACTTGTCAATTTTAATATTATATTTTTTTTTTTATATTCACTACATATAAAGGACAAAAATATTACTACTATCTAAGTTTTTTCCTCCAAAAGTGGACAATTAAAATTGAACGGAGAGAGTATTTCATTTCATTAATTTATATAATAGCATGGAAAGCAGTATCGGCTTAACACTAGGAAAAAACCCTGTTTTTTTCATTAAACGAACTACATGTAGAGAGAGCTTCAGCTTAGCACAGAAAACAGAAGAAATTTACTACTACAAAACCCAGTTACACCACTAGCTCTCATCCTTAAACAGCCATCTTTACTAGCCATGAGTGGTTGAACAAGGAAATATAATCTTAGAAATCATAAAGATTTATATTAAATTATTGCCATTTGCCACCCTTATACGAGACTGTACAAGAGATTGAGTTAAGTAACCAAGAATCAACAAAATAATGAACCCTTTAACTTGAGATCTTGTTTAGCAGCTCAAAATGTTGGTTCTAATCCATCTAATACATCCAAAACATTAGCCTTTGCATGTTTTAACCCTGTCTGTGGAGAAGTACCAGCGCTTCTACTTCGAGCCAAGACCTGTTTCGTTCGCTTCTTGGGCATCACTAGTTCCTGGCTTTTGCTTATTCCAGGAACCAACATTCCCCTCTTCATTACCTCCTCCAATAAGTTCCTATCTTCCAAAGAGAGCTGCACGTTAGATGTTTTCGTGTCATTGTTCATCATCTCAGTATGCAAAACCAGTCCTTTGCGCGGTGATCTTTCAGGTAAAGCCTTAGGTTCATCATCTCTTCTCAGGCTGGTGATGCGATGAAGCAACGTGACTAGTTCAATGATATGCTGGTCCATCTTTCGTTTGTCTGCATGATAGAGAGTCTGCAACCGAATTATGTTCTTGTGTGTAGGAGTCTTCTTGCCAGAATTGTTTCTGCTGGGAAGAAACAACCACTATTATGTTACTGAAGAATGGTGTCAAAATGAACAGAAAAAATTTGTTTGGGAGTGGGGATAAGGGGTTTTATAACACAAATAAATGCAACTGACCCAGTATTAGCCCACTCTCCAACCCAGCCGAAACCTTGATGTGCTCTGTTATCCGGTTGACAGCAAAGATGCAAAAGAATCAGTATCAAAACATGAGAAAACTAGGAGAAAACAAAAGGCACAGTTTACACTTGGTTTCAACAGATAAAACACGAACACCAAACACGTACCGTATAGTATATGTAGCTACTGGGACAAGCCACTGGAGAGTTTTTCCTATTTCTGCTTTGAGTTGAGGAATTGTGAGCTGCAACAAGGACAATGAGAAGGACCTATTTTACATACATATACCACTTTATGCAGAATTAAAAAAAATTACGATATCCGCCTCTGATGAGAGCAAAAGGGAGGAGGCAGGAAAAATGAAATATAAGATATAATGGATGAAAATAGAAACATAAGAAGAAAAATCTGGATACAAACCTCTTCCTTGGTGACTGCCTGCAATCGAGAACGAAGGGCTGTCTTTACGGTGGGGGGCAATCCATTATATAACGAATCCCTCATGTTATGAGGAACGGAAGTGGGGCGTAATGCCTGATATAATATCAAATCCCATTGTAACAAATACTATTTGCATTATAGTCCTAGGAGACTAATTGAGCAGAAAATACTTACAATGTTATCTATTTGAGTAATTAGGTTAGCATAGTGTAGAGCAAGACCGGCTTCTCCCAATCTTTCTGGTTTCCTAGTAGGCTCCTTGCCAAAAGATGCCAACCCTACAAAAAGCATAGACATTTTATTTCATAAAAACATCTATACTGCAGGAAAGTAGAGAATAAATGTGCATATGTGCTAGTTATATAAACGATATAAGAGTAAGAAACAAACAAAATGTCAACGCACTAAACAATTGAAAACATGACACATTGAACATTTAAGAGAAGGAAAAGCTTCAAAAATACACTACTACTGGGTATCTTATGCTCTTGCAAGCAGTAACCTGAAAACACCATTTCGATCAGTTCTCAAGGTTGAAGATAATCATTTGCATACCTTTTCTTGTTCCTCTTCTTTTTGCCTGTTCTTTTTTTGTTTAATTCAACTCACTTCTGCCTATGGCCTATAAGAATTGATGTATTTGAGGTTTCAGGTAGGACAAATATATATATCATTATTTAGGGAAATGCGTAAACGATCTGACAAATTCTTGCTTTGGTTGTAACTTTTAGCAAGATATGATGTTTATAGCTAGAAATGATGTAAAAAAGATATTTTTTCTTAGATAACTGAACAGACGTAAAAAATCTTAACGCGGCAGAGTTATAAATCCAGCTAAATTATTATTAGCAGGATTTTAACCTAAATATAGTTTCATTAGTAAGAGACGAATTTAGGACCTCTGGTACAGGACAAAGTAAGATATCCTTAGCTTGGGAAACTTCAGTAATACCAATGCAATCAGACTTAAATCTGGAGTTGTTTGTGACAGAGATTATTCTGAAGTACTCATTGAATTTAGAGAACAATTCAAGCAGTAGGATTCTCTGGCTTCAGGTTGAAAAGAAAGCATGGCTCTTCTTACTGGATATAAAGAAACAATTCAAGCAAAAAGGAGTCTTTGACTTCACGTTGAAAAGAGAGGCATGCACTCCAATCTACATATACTAAGTTCGTGTTAGTTGGTTCCAAATCCTTTCATGCTCACAAAATGAAACTAATCTTACTGTGATCATATTTTTCTTTGGGTTTATATTTTTTCTCAAGTCAATATATGGCTTTGGATGTTTAATTCTATATGGCTAGTCCAAACTTTAGGGGTTTAGAGTCTCAATTCCCAGATTAGCAAACACCAGTGACGGGTTTGACAGCAATAGATATATTAAGTACTCTATGACCACATCATGGGTGGCAAAAGCATGCAAATATTAATAAAAGCCACAACTGTGCAATGTTTACAAAATTACTGGACATTCTCATACCGTCATCCCCAAATGCTTCTGAGATCTCTTGATGAATAAAAGTAACAACGTCAACAAGCTTCTCCACAACCTACAAGGATGAAACATGCGGCCCTTATAAAAAAAGGATGAAATATGGGTAAAAGTGAGTACTGTTAAGTCCATAACAGCATTTGAAAAGCTGAAGACACATTTCCATTTCAACTACTAAAGACATGACAAAAAGCTTGGTACCCGGAGGAGCTTAAACAATTTCTCAAGTAAATTTGAAACAGTTTCCCACTGACAATGATCCTTATGATTTTCATTAAACGAAGTCAATGAAGTCTAATCTCAACTGAAGCATACATTGAAAAGGAAGCCAAAATGATATTCGGTCAAAGTACCTCCTCCAGACTCTTGAACCAAAGAGACTTCTTTTTCATTATCCTCACAGTTTTTCTTTGATGTTTTAGCTCACTTTGTAACATCATGAGACCTTCTCCTACAAGTGAAGGAAAGCAAGTAATCTGTCAATTTTAAGATAATTCACCACATGGTATCAATTTAACAAACACAAACAAAAAAGCTAGGAGGTTATTAGAAGAAGCGAAACTTAGGAATATCCTTCTTGTCTTCCAATTGACTTAATGTAAAAAACAAATGAGAATATTAATGTCAACTTGGAGGAATCCTCGGGAATAAACATTGACACCTTACATCCAACTTAGTAAAACAGAATATCATTGAAACAAGTTAAATGACTTCCCAAAACTAGAGACGTATAATTTGGATACACGAATAACGATCCCATGCTTTTTTGCTTGCATCATATGGAACGTGAAAGTTCTTTGCAATTATACTGGATTGTCTTATTAAGTCAAAAATCAAAAATCTTCTAAAGAGGAGAATGTTACTGGATCATGAAATGACATGTCTCCATAATAAAATCATTTAATATTTTGCGTGCAATTTATTCTTAATTGATTCATTATTTAAAGTGTCATTTTACCTGACTATTTCTACTTTGACACAAAAGAGAAGTATTAGATACATAAATTTGGATCAAGGTGATGAAATCGAGTTGTATGCGCTCTCTGAATGATATATTGCTACTTGATATTGTAAATTTGACTTGTAAAATTTAATCTTCGATAGAAACTACGAGTTAAGTTTAACGACAACACAAAAGTCGATCATTTCTTCCACTAAATTTGCATTCAACGCTTCTCCCAGGAGCATTGTTAAGAAGTAAGACAATACCACAGAAAATAGAAGTAAAATTGTGTATACCTTTGGGAGGCACTTTTAAAAATTTGATTTCCTCAAGATTCCTTCGATGATCCTGTTCAAATCTATCCAGCGCATGCAGCTCATGATACAATTCCTGCAAAGAAATGAGAAGTCACATGATCAACACTGCATATAGAATAGATACTATACGTTAACCAAATCCTTGTAGAGAAAACATCACTTCAATTGCCCCAAAATCATGTTACAAAAAATGCCAACTGACCACATGATGGTCTATCATCATTTCATCAGGGACTAACATATATAAGTAAATAAACAAATAAGTTACATCAGCAAATATGTATTAGGTTAATCCACTAAGGCATTGAGCTGCTTATCTAGCACTGCTGTCAATAAAGCTGAAAATGAGCGCTGTCTATTAGAATATTGCGGCTCATGTTATTTTAAGGCCTATGGGAGGAAAATGTTGATAGAAAGAACAAAGAAAGAAAAAACTCCTTGTATTTTAAGAACAAAAACATATAGAAAGGTAAAGACATCTCAAAACAAAAGAAACATACAGAAGTATGCTGAGCCAGAGTTATCAGTTCCTGCATTGCCATTTCAGCCTGTGCTTTTGGCTGTTTATGAGTAACAGTGTCCATGTCTAACCTGTCAAATGGTTAAACCTTCTCATAAACATATTTACTGATATATAATTGCAACAGTTTCTGACTCCTTTAGTAAAAACATCTCAACTTACTTGGAAAAATATCGACCAAGATTGTGCCATTGTGGGTCTTTGCACATATCTCCAAATCTGATGACTTCACGAGAGAAAACAGCAAAATCCTCCCTGCGGAAATGCACATACATATTTTCACCAATGCTTTCAGTGCTCGGAGAATTACACCCAGAACTTTTCCACTATATTTTAATTCTAAAAGTTACATACTTCTATTGATGTATTTTCCGGTACCTTGAACTTTGAGCTGTCATAATTTTAGGTTGAAATAGTATAAGGAATATTTTCTTCATTAAGATGCTGTTATCAATTCAAAAACCTTAGTAGAGAGTATTTAATAAATTTTCTTTTGATTCAAAAATACTAGAGACACGCATGTGTATATGATTCATCTCTTTCAGGTCTTTATTATTTTTATATAATTCATTTCTTTCATTTTAGTTTTGTTACTGTTTCCTGAAGAGTGGATAGTTAATCACTAACCTTTTGTCATCAGCAGCTATAGTAAGCAGCTCTTTCATATTAGTAGAAACCAACTGTTGCACACCTTTTGAAGGAAGAACTTCCTTCTTTAAATACCGGACACTTTCTTCAGAAAGAGATTGCAATAAATTTGCACCTTTGGTGATAGTATTCGCAATTTCAAATGCAAGAATAGATATTTTGTTTTCTCGAGAAGCCGTGCCAGTCAAGAAGCCTCCAGAGTTCAAATTTATCATGCTGCTGCCAAGTGTATCTAAAACTTCTACCGCCTTTTCTAGGCCAACTGTACTGGCTTTTCCAAGAAAAGAGCTCGGGGCCTATTAAAAGAATAATTTTGTCTTGTTATCTTACTTTATTGCGTGCAAAATATACAAAGAGAGTTTCACATGAATAAGAAAGACAAAGCATTACCAGGAAAATGACAGTTGTTCAAACATTGGACTTGCTTCCAATGATATCAGTAAAAGAACAGAAAACAGGTGCCAAACGACCCACCCACATGGATATTTCCAAAGTCTTTGTTATATAGAACAAGACTCCCCGGGTACGAACAAACAGCCATAGAATTCAGACTTTTAGTTCTAGTGTCTGTTCGTCAGTCATACCGCTAATGAAAATAACACAATGGTCAACTTCTATTATTAAGTAAGTACATTAGTAATCTTAATTAGTAATCACACCTCTTTAGGGTGCGGCCCTTCCCAAGACTCTGTGTGCACGGGGGTTGCCCTTTTTATTAGTATTGTTAATTGCCTCACTTCAAATTTCATTTGTCAAAAGAACTTATCAGATGCTTAACCATTGATCTTGTTATCCTGTGTTTATGCCAGACAACTTTAGCCTAATGCTTTCCAATCAATCTCGTTCCACTAAACAATCCAAAATCAAGCTTTCGTAGATATGCATTGATATACTCACCCTTTACATATTATGAGCAGTTGAAAATTTTTGAGGATTAGCATAATAAATACAGGTTCCCTCTGTAACAGTTTAAACTTTTAATGAGGTGGTCATGATTAAACAGATACAAACAGACAGATGGGCTATGTCTGAATCCTGCCATCTCCTGTCATTAAAAATAGTTTCATGTGCTTGGCCAATTAAAATTATCAAACAAGTGAGAGGACATGTTGAGGAATAATATTAAAAATAAGAATGTCATTCACTGACAATTTAAGCGTCTAACAAGGCCACACAATTTCAACAACCGTGCATATGTATATTTCTTCTTTTATCCTTTTATGCCATGATATCTTTCTCTTTGATGATGTTCCTCTAGCATTACAATCTATATTTCTTCCTTTTTCCTTTAATGCCAATATATCCTATGAAGCTATCTTAAATTTTTGCAACTACTGACAAATCTGCTGTGTTCTGCCAAAAGAATCGCAACAATGAATGTTGTGAATATGACAGAATGTTTACAAAGGTGAGCAAACGCAGTCAGTTTTACCACAAGAAGTTGGATTATATCATCCATATATGAAGTGCTTTTCTCTTTGAATATGTTGAGAGAACTGTCCAACTTCCATTGTTCATCTGTTTCTTCTTACAGAGTATAGATCATAATCACTTCGACAAAATCTAACTGCTTTCAGTTACCAAGAGCAGTTTCAGTTGCCACCGTGGCGCAGAACATCTAAAGGCATCAGACCTGTTATTACCTCAAACTTCCAGAAACCTTAAAGGCTGTTATCCCTCTAGAATTCTGGGTGTGGAGGGATACCTAAGCTTAGTTAGTTAGACATGCTTAGGTTTCATTTATCAGCAGAATTAACCGGACAAATAGCTCCACCAACTAAGAAGGCTAAACCACTATCCATAACAAAAACCTCAGCCGCATTATTCACCTACTCGTGTAGTTCAATTCCTCTTTATCCAACCATTTGTTTCACTTCAGACTAATCTTGCCAGCTTTCTAACACCCCGTAAAGGGCAACATCACAAAAGGCAGAATCTTCGACTCAAAATTAAATAAATAAAAACCGTGACAACTAATTGCTTCCTTCAATCTAGTTTCGTGATATCAATCAAGTCAAGAAAGGGAAAAAGGGAATTTACGATCAAGCGTGCAAGATTAGGCCGCGATAATTAAAAAAAAAGGGAATGAAACAATCAGATAACCATTGCTTATACCAACTCCTAGAAAGCATCCAAATACATATACATTGATTAAGTTAACAGAAAAAATGGTGGTACCTTGTTAGCTCCTGTCCTAGTAGGTGGAGATGGCCTTAACTCCCGGGAAATAGACAAACACAACTCACCAGAATCATAGAGATTCGGCGTCTTACGAAAACCATCCTTATCAGGACATGAAGTAGAAGAAGAAGAAGAAGAAGACTCATTCTTTGGCTCTTCAAAACTCTTGATTGACTTGAGCTTTTCAGAAGAACCTGAGCTCCTCTCATGGTGAATTTCTGCTCTATTTCTCGCTGTTCCACCTGTACAAACACCTCCCATTTTTGCTCCTTAGAGCTAAGATGGGAGAAAAAAATCAAACTCCTTAAACCTGACCTCCTACACCTATCAGCAAGAAAGGGAAAAAAACATCATCAGCACACACACAAGTGGCAAAGCCAGAAATTGAAGTAAAAACATTTCCCATAATATATGCTATATACATCTAAAATTAATATTTTACTTATTTCCCGCAATATATGTAATTTTTCGTAATATTTCAACGAAGGATGGTCAATTCTCAATTGACCATCCTTAGCAAATGGTGGCTTCGCCCCTGACCACACACACAAAAAAAAAGATAAAAAAACATCAAAGTTACTCAATTTGATGAATTTAAAAATAAGTCAAAAAAGGGCATAAATCAATCTAACTGTCTTAAATTTCAAACAAGTTAGACGTCGATTACACGAATCGTGTTATTCATTCTACTCAATTTGGGTCCATTTTATTCCAAGAAACATAAAAGAGTAAACATCATTGCCCCAATCAAAAGCTCATAAAGAACTAAAAAGTACTCCAATCATATTTTCTTGGATTAAAACTACCACCAAGACTAAATTGTACTCCATTTTCAACTTATTCAACATAAAAGATCAAAAGAGAAACTCTTTTTCTTATTCAAGCATTAAAAGGATGAAAATAAAGGAAGCTTACCGAGAATAAGTTCAAAGAAATGTAAGAGAAGTAGAACAAAAACATCTGAAGCAGCTGAATTGAGGTAAAAAAGAAGTGTAGAATCATGAAGTATTTAAGCACTAGAGTGGAGTTATTTGGGTTTAAGAAATAAATGAAAAGGAATGAATGGATGAGTAAAGAATTAATGGAGCGTAATCCCAACAAGATGTAGTCAAGATTTCGAGGATTGTTGGGATATGACAGAAATGAATTGAGATTGCCAATATTTTTAGAGAAGATAAAGTTAAACAGTAAAAACATTTGACTTAAAGACTTTGCGTGCAGATTTACTTGACGCATGTACTTGTGAACGGTAACAGAATTGCTCTATTAATTACTTATTATGTTCAAATAAATACAAGTTAATCTGGAAATCACAGTTAAAATCCAGTTAAATGATTTGACCAAACCAATTAAGTCGGATTTTCAAATCTTAAAATCAAACCAATCTCAATTATTAAGTCGGTTTTTTATTGGTTCGATTTATATTTATTTTTTCGGTTTTTGTTTGATTTTTTAAATATGAAACATACACTACTAAATATATATTTTAGCAACTATATTCCAACATAACACTATCAAACTAATTACTCTTTGAGAAAATCTGTCATTTACCGAGATATATTATTGATAATTGAATTAAATAGCTTTTGAAATAAAATCATTTGATGCTTATTTTTGAAAATAACGCTCAACAACAACAACAACAACAACAACAACAACAACAACAACAACAACAACAACAACAACAACAACAACAACAACAACAACAACAACAACAACAACAACAATAATAATAATAATAATAATAATAATAAAAAGTTTGAATCGAATGAATAATGTTTAGTGTGAAATTGAACTTGCTTTATGATTACTTTAAAATAAATTTACATAGTTAAGATTTACACGAGTAGTCTACATCACAATTTCTAAGATTTGGAATAACTAGGATATATTCGAAATTTTTTAGTAAAAAATATATTTTGTTGTTATTATTACTCTTTCTTGCCCTTTTCATCTGTCACTTTGACCAACATTTTTCATCCATGATATATGTCATTTTAGAAGACTAAGAACGCATTAATTATTATTTGTCAGTTTCACCTTACTATTCAAAAAATATATAGTCATTATTGATTTAAAGAAGATGATAAAGATAATTTAGTCGAATACCCTTTATGGTTAATACTATTAAGTTAATTATTTTGCCAAAATCTTAAAAAAGAAAAAAAAACTAGAAAGATAACTTATTATTATTCCATCCGTTTCCGTTTTGTTGTCAACTTTTCCAAAAATAATTACTTAAAACACTTATCATTTTAAAAAATCAAGAAAGAGTTTAAAAAAAATTCAATTTCACCCTTAGCATTAACTATCCATTTTTCAAAAGATGTTGGTCAAATTCAAAATTTACTATGCAAGAACTACTTTGATCTATGCAACATTATTCTTTCATCTCTTAAGTGAGTTTAATAATCTAGATATTAGTTACACAGTAAGAGATGAAAAGTTAAATAGAGTTAGCTTATTTATTGAAAATAGATTAATGTGGTCAAAGATTAAAGAATTAATAAGGAAAGATTAGTCAAATAATTTTTCTTATTAGTAATATTTTCTTGAAGATGTGTAAAACTCTGACAACTAAATGGAAACAGAGAGAATAATTAATAGTGCTACGTACTACTAACACTTATTGTTATTATATACTAATAATTAAAAAAATGTTATTTGTGTATTTTATTGAATCGAATTAAATAATATTTAGCAGGTTTTGACCATAATATGCTACTAATTACTAACGTTCACCACCTTAACTACAAAGTCATCCATTAGCCATCCCCAACTGTCTATCTCCTAATTTGACACATTTTCAACTTTTCAAAAGAATTACCAGAAGTACAGATTATAACTGATTAAATAATTTTTTTTATTGTTTGACCAAAAAAAAAACTTTTCAAAATCTTGCTCTTAACCTTTCGTGTCTGCTCTCTCTTTGTTTTTGATTATCGTGTTTGGGGTTGATGATCAAGTTTTCGCGTCATTATTTTCTCCTTTCTTGTTGTAATTCGTTCTTTACACAAATCTTGAAATAATGATTTTACGACACAAATGACAATTATTTTAAAAAGTCACAACCATTTAGTTCAGACACAAGTTATGTAGAGATTGTAACACGAATTGAAAATATATAGATTATAATGTATGAATACTTCTTTTTGGATGTTTAGTTTATAATAGTATACACTATATAATTTAAAATATATATTCAAATTTAGAAAAAAACAAATTTTATTTAATATTATGAATATTAGTTTGGTCACTTTAATAATATTCTTATCCATGTATTATTAATACTTATATTTTTAATTTATAATTTTCACCATATAAAATAATATATAAACACTAGTAGAAATTCAGCAAAAACTGACCACGGTCGACCGGTCAATTTTGGTCGGTTTTCTTTGGCGCAAAAATGCGGGAAATAATTTTTGAGTCCGGCGAAATTTATTTTTCAAGAAACCGACCAACTTTGGTCGGTTTTTCATTTTAAATAAATTAAAATTAATATTAAAAAACCGACCGAAATCGGTCGGTTAATTCGGCCAGTAATTTTAAAAAATCGATCGAATTCGGTCGGTAATTTTATTTTTTAATAAAACTGACCAACTTTGGTCGGTTATTTTCGTGCGAAAATACAATTAAAGAGTATAAATGAAATAAAAAATAGTTTTAAAACAAAATGCACCAATGGTCTACTGGTAGAATAGTATCCTGCCACAGTACAGACCCCGGTTCGATTCCTAGATGGTGAATTTTTTAATTACATAATTAAAATACCGATCAACTTTGGTCGGTTTTTTCGGTAATTTTTTTTTTTTGAATTTAATTGACCGACCAAAGTTGGTCGGTAATTTCCGACCAACTTTGGTCGATATGCCCTTCCGACCTTCAAAATACCGTCCACACATAAATGATCGCGTTTTGGACGATTATTGGCCATTACCGACCCACTTTGATCGGTTATTTTGGATGATTTTGCCCAGATTTTTAGTAATGAAATTCCAACATAACTTATAATATATTATTGCTTTAGTAATCAAATTCTAGTTCTATGCAAATATTAAATTTCCTACCTAGACCAACAAACGACCCCCCAGGCTCAAAAGTTCAAAGTTACCCATCAACTCTTGAGTATGGTTTAAAATTACCCTTAAATTTGAGCTCTATTAGAGATCAATGACAAAAATGAGATTTTGAATTAACGAACAATAAGATTTCTCAATTTTGAATAATATTGGGTCAAATTTGACACTTCTCTTTTCTTATATAACAAAAAGTTACATATAAAAAACTATAAAAAAATATCCTCTATCAAAGTTGTTTTACGATAAAAATATTTAAATATGTACCAAATATTTATATTTAAAGAACTTAACTCTTCAATAATTGTTGTGTCATATAAAATAAAAGAATTTCATTATCAAAACAGAACCTTTTATTTTCGAATGACATTTGTTCTTTTTCCTTGCCTAAACATGTTTGTTTCTTTTTGAGAACAAAAACGGTATTGACAAAATATAATACCAATTCTTTGACAACAATTTTGGAAACAATTACAAGTAAAACCCAAAAGCACCCAGGAATACACAAAGTAAAAGTTATTGGAAACTAAGACTAGTATAATATCAAATTTTCACGTGAAAATTGAAGATTTCGCGAGTGAAACTATTATTTACCCAAAAAATTCTTCAACTATTTCCAGACAGTTACTCATTATTTGCAATACTGACAACAAATCAATATTACAACAAATATTGAAATCGAGTATTCTTTTTAATAATAACATCCCATGTGGTTAAATGTATTTATTATTATTGTTGGCATCGCATTGAGACTGATCGACTCAAAGGGCATAATCAAATTCATGACGAGCACGACTTGTTTGTGTTCAGGCTAAAATTATCATAATTATATGAGGATCAAGTTGACATTAAGGAAGCCTTCGAAGACTGTTATGTATCGTCAACAAGATATAATGGTTTGGCTTCAAAAGATCGATGTCACGAGAAAACAACACATTATCGACGAGGTCGAGGCGGCTCAACAGAGGACGGAGACGAGGATGTGCACTCCCTTTAATAAAACAGTAATAACTAGTTTCGTGGTTATGGTTCCCCGGAGAATATTTCTCCCATTTGTACTATTTAGGGTTTTGTGACCCATGTACTCTTATAAATAGAAAGATATGTATTTATAGAGGAAATTGGACATTCATTGTAAAAAAACAATACATTGACATTCTCTGAAGATTCTTCTTTTATCATATACATACAAAGTTCACCTTTTTTCTCATATATTTATCTATCTTTTCTCCCCCGATCCAGGAAGGATCCGAATATTCAAAGACATATCATTATCTATCCTTGTCAGAAGAATTATACAAGAATATCACCCTTTTCTGGTGACCTCCATCTATTTATTTACTTAAACTAGTATACTTTTCCACGCTTCGTGCGGTCATACAATTTTTTCTTAAAATTATGAAAATCATTGATTCAATGGAAGAAAAAAAAATTGGCGTAGATAAGTAAATCGACATTAAGCCTTACATTATAATATTTTTTTCTATCAACGAAATAAAAATTTACAATATTAATGCACAAAAAGTAGAACCAAAATGCTAATAACAATAAAAATTGTATATTTATTAAAAAGTAAGAAAGAAGTATGGAGAAAAAAAAAACAAAAGGGGAATAAAAACATAACCACGGGTTTTGTAAGCCTCGAGCGTCCCTCCGGGAACATCAACTTAATACAAATGTAAAGAAAATTAAAATCCCAAAAATTTCAATCCTAAAGCACAAAGTACTGAAATTAAGAAAATAATAAAAATTGCTTGCTAATTAACAAAACAAAAAGGAAAAAATAAAGACATACCATAAACATAGTCATACTCTTACTAATGACTAAAGCAATGATTTTAAAGCCCGTAATGTTTCTTCAAAATTCTTACGATTTTAAACACGTAAGGGCATTGAATAAAACGTCAAAGAGAAATTTCCCATGAGTGCATGGCTGAAAAGGAAAAAGAAAAAAAAAATACGATATGGTTGTTAGAGTAGCCGTAAAACAAAATTATAGAAAGTCAAAATCCCAAAAAATTAACAGCCTCGTATGCACAAAGTAACGAATGAAAAGTAAAATTTTATTACATATTAGCCAAATAGGCTCAAAAAA